CGGCAGGGCGGGGGCCGCCCGGGAGAGGGCCGGGGAGGGGGGTCGCTGCCGTGTGCTTGCCGCGGATCAGAGCAGGGAGCTGCCGGCCGCCGCCATTACAGTCCCTCCTCCATCTGCCCGTCTCACTCACTCACTTTGGGGAAAGGGGGGCCGCGGCGGGAGGGAGGGAGGGAGGGAGAGAAGGGAGGGAGGGACGGGCGGACGGACGGGGGAGGACGGACGTAGGGGCCGCCGCTCGCGCGCACGGCACGCTGGGTAGCGAACGCCTCGGCGGCCGCACGCCGGATAACCAAATAGAGTCCGGCCTCACCCTACGCAGGCGCACTGGGGATGCGCCGCTCTCAGGGGGCGGGGACACGGGGAGGGCGGGGAAAAGCCTGGGTCCCGCCCCCCCACCCAGGCGCCCGCCCCCCTGCTTTCCCGGGTGGGAATCCCGGGCTGGAGCTGTGACTTTGAGGAGCGCGTGGGCCCCGGACTTCCTGGTAGCTGACTTTCGCGCAGACATTCTCAGGAGCCGTGTGGGCTGAGCTCAGCCACCCACCCACCCCCCCGCCCCGGCCTCGCCTTTGGAGCTGGGTTCGAGCCTGGCTTCGTACTGCCCTGGAATGCCTGACGTTGCTCTAGAATTCTTGGCGTGTTTTGCTCCATTCCGAAGGGCCCCGCCTCTTCCTCTGCCTGTCACTCACTCGCTTTGGTTTTGTAGCGCCAGTCCGTCTCCAGGATCTGGGGAACGTTTCACCTTTGGCAAATGGCCCAGATTCTTCCGACTTTCTCACTGGTCCCTGGGCCAAAGCCGCGACCTGCTTCTTTGGTCCCACTAATGTGCTCCCGGCTACCTGTTGTAACTTGTCTTCGGTCTTTATTATTCTGACATGGGTTGTGTTTGGAGTGATATCTTGATTGCTGAGAATGGTGGGTGGACTGGAAAAGATAACTTTCAAAAACACCCGAAGTTGGACTCTGATGTTTAGAAGTGAATGAACTCCGATTGCCATTAGTGGCAGAAATATTGATTGAAACAGAATAAAAATATTGTGAATACAACTTAAAATGAACTCAGTCAACAGCAACAATATCTTCATCGTGAAATGGTTTTAGAGTGAAATAATACACACATAAAAGGTCGGGTTTTTTTTAACCGCTGTAATGTGTGCATTTTTCTGTGCTTGGTTTCACAGAAATTATCCTCATAAATTTACAAGTTTTTCAAGTTAATAGAGCTAATAATCTGGCTCCTGGGCGTGACAGCCCATGTCTTTAATCCCAGCAGACAGCCTGAGCTCTGAGTTTGAGGCCAGCCTGGTCTACAGATCGAGTTCCAAACAGCCTGGACTATAGGACTACACAGAGAAACCCTGTCTCGAAAAGCACGCGCGGGGAGGGGAGGGGGGCTAATAACGGTTTAGTTGCACAATAAGACAAAAGGAATATTTAACAGCATAATGAAAAGAGGTATAGTATTTACAGCTATACAGGAAATTGAATATAAAATTGGTTGCATTTTAAACTTTATTTTCTCTATGAAAGCCTATAAAAATTTTCACTATGGAGCCCCTCAGGCTGTAATTTCAGAGACAAAGTAGTACGCTTTATTTTGTCATGTCTGCTGGATCGTTATAATTAATGAAGAACTGATTGGATCTGTTACACTTATTCTTACTGCCATATTTATGTATGAAATGAGGTCTTAGATAACAATACTGTTTCTTCATGTGATTAGAGTACTGTTTCTTCACTTACTAACAACCAGCATACAGCTAGTTCATTCAGTCCAGTTCCTTGAGGAAGGACACACAAAAAAAAGCTCAGAAATATCTTCCACACATCCTCAGGACCCTTTCACATACACAGTGCAAAGCTCTTTCAAGGGCCTGGAGCCCACTTTCATGAGGATTATATCAAAAGAGCAAAATACCTAACACTTCAGCACAAGGTAAGGCTACACACCCAGCCCCCTGCAAAAAGAGAAAGCTGTGGGGCTTGGGGATTTAGCTCAGTGGTAGAGCACTTGCCTAGCAAACACAAGGCCCTGGGTTCAGGGGGGGGGGGCTGTGTTGCTCAAGAAAGAAAGAAAACTGTGTTGCTCTTTTATTCTTTTATTGTCTGTCTTACTGGATGACGCTATCCAAACCTAAAGCTATAAAGGTACTATACTCTAGTGCCTTCATTTAACCCAGACATCCAGTCCTTCCTCAGAAACTTCTTTCCTGTCTCCTCCACATCATTCTGCTTGCTGCCTGACCAGCCGCCGCCGCTTTCTTCTTCTTCTTCTTCTTCTTCTTCTTCTTCTTCTTCTTCTTCTTCTTCTTCTTCTTCTTCTTCTTCTTCTTCTTCTTCTTCTTCTTCT